AAAAAGAAAGAGGAGAAAATGAAAGGGGGAGAGGAAAGAGAATATCATGCTGAGTCATTCAGACACCTTGATGTCTTTGGACCCCATCTGAAGAAACACAGATGCAATCTTTATCACCCACCATGGTGGCTTAACCTCACTGACAGCAGCATACATAACAGGAGCTGGTTACATTATTATTCCTAGTCCTGATTTCCATTCCCACCTCAAAAAAGAAGAGGGGGGAAAAAAGCACCATAAAACCAAACTTACTGTAAGTTTATATTTCTTTCTTTTCTTTTTTTTGAGACAGGTCTCGCTCTGTCACTGGGCTAGAGTGCAGTGGTGTGATCATGGCTTGTTGCAGCCCAGACCTCCCAGATTCAAGTGATCCTCCTGCCTTAGCCCCTGAATAGCTACAGGCACATCCCACCACTCCAGCTATTTTTTAAACTGTTTAGTAGAGATAGGGAATCTTTTCTTGCCCATGCTGACCTTGAATTCCTGGGCTTAGGCAATCTTCCTGCCCTAACTTCCCAAAGTGCTAGTATTACATGTGTAAACCACTGCACTGGTATATATTTCCCACATTATCCTTAAGGAAAATCAGGCCAGAAGTCAAGAGAGTGAGTTTTGGCTTTGTTAGCTTGTACTGTACCTCAATCATGAGAATTAACTTCTTGGGGTCCTTAGTTCCCTTATCATCTAATGGGAGCGTGGTAGGGGAGAGATTCTAGTTTGGCTGATTCTTTTAAGGATTCTAAAACTTTATGATTTTATCTTTACTCATGTTTTCATTAAACAACCAAGCTCGTTTATGCTTACCCCCAAACTACAATGACTCATGCTAATACAGCACAAAAAATAAAGCCAACTAATTTAATGAAGGCTGCAGAAAATGTCATCCATGTCCATCTCTGGGAGGAAGTGTTAGATGTTTCAGATACGAGGTTAATCTTCAGAGATAAATCTCCTTTATGTGACACTGGTCACTCACCATTTCCTACCTTTAAAGGTGCAAGGTGAAATGATCTTATGATTTAGGAGGTGTAGGTCTGCTGGGGTCAGGGTTCTAGTGGCAGATGAAAGGGTTATTCAATTCTGGAATGAAAAATCAAGGGCTAGCCATACTGACAGACGTTGGCCTCACTGAAGGCTGGAGTGGCGAATTCCTAATCAACATGATAAACGATTACTTCAAGCCCACTATGGCTTCATGTTGAGCAGCATGTTGTGGTGGAAAGAAAAGTAGAATACATATTCATTAAAGCCAAGAGGTTCTCATCTAGCTAGTGATACAGAATAAAACTAAATACAAAAAATAGGGAATGTGAGTGTATTTAAAATGTGTGCCAAAGAAAGCAGATAGCCACAGGTCAGAAAAAGGAGGAAATCAGTGTAGGAAGGAAGAGAAGACAGAGCAAAACTTGGACAAGGCTGTTTTAAAGGATAAGTGAAAGGCGGCACCTGACTTTTAGCTATGTCTGCCTCCCACCAGAATGTAAACATCAAAAGGGGTGGGCCTGCATCTGTCAGTGCCAATGCTCAACACAGTTCCTGGCATATCTGAAGAATTATGTATATTTAGAAAATGAGGATGGAGTTGGAATCAAGCACAATGTTATGAGAAATAACCATGAGGGAACCTGCTTGAATCAGATAGGTTAAGGGGTAATGATGAATGAGGCCAAATGTATCAAGTGGGATCCTCACACAGGTCAGAGCAGGGAGTGTAATATCACAACTGAGCCTCCTAACCATTGGGCCATGCCTGAGGGTTTGCTGAGTTCACCACTCCTGCAAACACCTAAGTAGAGGCTGAACTATCTGTCAAGGATATAGAAGCATGGATAAAGATGCATGCAGATAACTACGACAGTGCATTTTCTTTTTTTTTTGAGATGGAGTTTCACTCTTGTTATCCAGTCTGGAGTGCAATGGCACGATCTCGGCTCACTGCAACCTCCGCCTCCTGGGTTCAGGCAGTTCTCCTGCCTCAACCTCCTGAGGAGCTGGGATTACAGGCATGCGCCACCATGCCCAGCTAATGTTTTGTACTTTTTAGTAGAGACGGGGTTTCACCATGTTGACCAGGATGGTCTCGATCTCTTGACCTCGTGATCCACCCGCCTCGGCCTCCCAAAGTGCTGGGATTACAGGCTTGAGCCACCGCGCCCAGCGACAATGCATTTTCACCTGTAATATACGTGATAGGAGTTTTACAAAGGGCTCAAAATGATAGTGTGACATGGCTTCAAAAAAATGTTTGTATTAGTAAGCACATGGAGCACACAGAGTTACTGAATGAAAGGTTTGTTTTTTTCTTTTTCAAGACGGAGTCTTGCTCTGTCGCCCATGGTGGAGTACAGTGGTGTGATCTCAGCTCACTGCAACCTCTGAGTCCTGGGTTCAGTGATTCTCCTGCCCCAGCCTCCGGAGTAGCTGGGATTATAAGTGTGCACTACCATGCCTGGCTAATTATTTATTTTTAGTGGAGATGGAGTTTCACCATGTTTGCCAGGCTGGTCTCAAACTCCTGACCTCAGGTGATCTGCCCGTCTCGGCCTCCCAAAGTGCTGTGATTACAGGCGTGAGCCACCGCACCCAGCCTGGAAGTTCTGTTAATGAGTGTTCAGAGAAAGGGAAATAACAGTCGGGTTACACAAAGAAAACACGATAGCTGTTTCTTTAAATGTCTGAAAAATTATCCTGAAGTCATGTATATTTTTCTCTGCATTTACAAGGGTAGAGTTAAACAGGACAAAGATAAAGGCAGACTCTGTGTGTCTGTGAGATCTTAACAATTATAACATTCCTAGGGTGGGATGGATGCCCTTGGGAAGAGTAAGCTCCCAGCCTATATATAAGAGATACTGCAGAAGAGGTTTATGCTTTAACCTGGTCAGACCTCTCAGATTTTTCCAACTCTGAAAGTTTAATGATCTTTAAAAGGTCTATTTTAGAATAAGTGGTGCAACTCTTTATCCACAAATGTCAAAACTAAGAGTCAAAACTGGAGTGCCACTGCACTCCAGCCTGGGTGACAGAGTGAGACTCTGTCTCAAAAACAAAAAAACAGAAAACAAAACAATGTCTGGTACTTGGTAAATGCTATATAAATGTTAACGCTTGCCTTTCATTTTGAGAGTATGTACCTCCTAGACAGATACTTTTGGTGTTAAAAGTGTTCTCTATAACATGAAATAAAGGTGATACTACATTGTCCTTTTTTGTATAGTGTCTTTAGTAATTCCTACTGTGCCCCCTACAAAAAAAAAAAAGTTTTTAAAAGAGAAGAAATGAAAAACCAAGTAAGTGTAAGTCAATTTCTAATACACTTTTTTGGGGAAAATTTTGCCCATCCATAAAATGTGAAACCATGGTTCTATAATAAAAAGACAAGAAAGAATATCACACCTAGCTCTTACTTCCTTAATTGAGAAGAAAACCATTGGGAAAAAAACTTTTTAGGTTCATCAGCCAAAAAGTCAAAATCACATACAGTATATCCTCTACTGAAAAGTCAAAATGGAAGTTACTCTAATGTCCTCAAATAAATTTCACCCTAAACAAAAAACAAGTAAAA